GTACATTTTTAGTGCATAATTTCAAAAATGCCAAATTTTGAGTTGTGTCACTTTTGAAGATCGTGTGCGATATGGTGGCTAGAATGTAAATAGGTAAAAGACACTTTAGAAAGTTTTGGCTAAATTTCTTTGCTTAAGAAATGTTTATTATTTTTTGTGAAAATATAACTTACTATCTAAAAACCCATGTAAATCAAAATTTTAAACTTTGTAGAACAATAGCTGCATTTTTTTGTAAGCGAGCTACAAAAGAACGCTCAACTCGGGTAAAATTTCCTTTTGGCTACTTAACCCTTAGCCACCTAACGTCTTTTTTAGACACTCTACCACCTAACGTCGGTCAAGGTGACCCCTTACTTAATTTTAGTGTTTAAAGTATAAATATAATAATAAAACACGTAAAAACCGCACATAACTCTTTTGTACCTTTTATTTAATTAATATTAACAAAAAATTTACTTAAAAGAAGTTTCATACTTCAATAACATTTTTTATTCATTGATATACGAATTTTGTAAGAAAACGTAGATACTTTTATAAAATGAGATCTAATTAGGAAAAAATATTCGAACTTAAAATTTTTTTCTTTTTTTTATAACTTAAAACATGGACTTCAATAATAAATTGTTTTTGGCGCGATTAAATCGCAATTAAAATAAAATTGCAACCTGCCAACAATCACAAAACAAAAATGTTTTACCTCTAGTTTTTGAATTGGTACACGTGTTGACTGCCTGATTGCACAAAACGAACTGACGAGAGAAAAGAAAAAGTACATAGACGGACAACTGCGCAGCTTGCATAATAACGGGAATATTTAAAAAATAAAAAACGGTAGAGTCACTGTGACCGGCGTTAGGTGGCTAAGGGTTAAGCAACCCTGCCGGTAGCTGGCAAGAAACATGTGATTAGTTCAACGGGATATAGACACAAAAAACAATAGAAATTAATAATTATGCGAGGTATTTGCGTAATATATGTACTTATTTAAAATATATATCATGTATATACGAAAATAAAAATTTCCCTCTCCACTTTCCCACTAACAATTCACAATAGAGCAGTTTTTGCACTTAACAACACTACTCTTCAGGTCGCGTATATTTTAACCGACCTGGTTGAACTCGGATAAATAGCCGATTTTGTGTTGTTGCTTTGCGTGTATTTCGTTATTTAATTTAGTAGCTCGGTTGCAAAAGAACGGGCCTATTTATTAAAATTCAGCGAATAGTGTTGATAAAAATTGTAAACATTTTCATTAGATTTTTGTAGAATTGTTTTGGGTATGCAGTTTTGTAGGCAATTCAATTTTAGTATAAAAAGTGCAAGTTTGAAGTATCTTGGACTTACCATTGATTTTTGGCAATTTTTTGTTCGCGCATTTTTTTCCATACAAAGTATCTTCGACTATTTTTTTTTAGTATGGAGAAGGTGTGTAACACCTTGCACAAAAAAAAACAAAACTGCATACTCAAAATGTTTCTAAGAAACCTAACGAAAAAGCTCAGATTTTTGATGAAACTTTGTTGAATTTTCCTAATTTTTGCAGAAACTTTGAAATTTTAACTTTCACGGTCTTTGTTGAATAACGAGCTACACTTTCATAAAAAAACATTAAATCATTTTCAATCTGTAAGCCTTAAAGCTCTGCATCAATATTATAACATTTTCTTACTCCATTTGTGAACATAGCTTAGACTTGGGGTCAAAATTCAAGTTTTTCTGGCAAGCTTACTTGGATTAGCGTTGAAAATTAAATGTCTTGGAAAACTGTTGAAGAAAATATAATTGAAATAGGATGTTATACTAGTCGTAAATTCGACGAAGATACAATTTTTGGCGAGATTCGCTGCGTAAGCACTATAATAAGTAAAAAAAAAACGTGGGGAGAGTGGCAAAAATCAAGAATGGGGAAAGGTGGAGTGCAATTAAAAACATAGCACAATCGGCCAATTTAGGTTTAGAAAATATACTAATGCTAGGTGAGTTTGCTCTGTGTATTCCAGGCACAACTGCTTCAGTAGAATGGATATTTTATGTTGAATAAAATTTTTTAACGTTTATTATAGGTTTCAAAATGTAGTGCCATTGACACTGGTTATTTGTAAACGACTTCCAAAGAAGGAGGAGGTTATCAGTTCGTCGGAATATTTATTTTTTTATGTATGTTACCGCATAACTTTGAACCATTTTCAACCGATTTCGATAATTCCTTTGGTATCGGAAAGGTAGTGGCTCAGATGTAGTCCCATACTAATCTGGTTTAGATCCGATCATTGGATCATGAAATATATATATATATATATTTTTTTTTAAGTCGGTTTTTTTTCTAAAAATTACTTGTTCTACATCAACTTTACATTAAATTCTTGTACAAAATTGATCTTTCATCTTAAATTCAAGTTTAACATATTACAATCATGCAGATAAGTGTTACGGCAGTAACTTATGTATTTCAATTACAATCTATCACACTAATGTCCTTTTTTAAAAAAGGCGTTCATGCCGAAAACTAATCAATTCAGAATATATTCGACTCGTGTATGGATTTTCACAATCAGACAATCCATATCATGATTCCAGAAAATTATAAAAATAATAAAAAATTATAAAATTATTACCACCAAAAGCTGACACCTCGAAAATATAGTGCAAATAAGCCACAATACCCGCTAGTATAATTTTTTAATTTTGTACGTTTCAAAAAATAAATAAAAAGCAGTCAAAATATACAAAAATAAATGTTGAACACAAAATCGTTTAATGTTCAAATATAGAACTTGACGTACGTTTCATATTAGTTTAAAACTTAAATCCTAAAATGCCCTCCATCCTTTCGTCTTAAAGGGTCGAAATCCAATGAATATTACATATAATATCTTTTCAAACACACTGCATTTTTTTTTATATGTATGTATTTGTTGGTATCCCTTCAAAGAGTTCATTTTCCATGTGGTACCCAATAGCCGTTGAATCCACAATACCCTTCGTTCCCCTAAGTGCAAGGAAAAACGAGGTTGTCACCATTAGGCAGTAAACAAGTTTTATAGAGATATTAAAATATTTATTACCATTATTATCGTAAACAAATTGTCACAAATTTGTAAGCATATTTCCACATCTTCGACTTGTTTCGCCCCATCTACTGGCGAACGACGCATAGTGTCAATATGACTCATCGACGACTTGGATCGGTGCACTATATTGCAGTCATACTCCAAAAGTCTTAAAAGCCAACGCGCTACCCTTGTGTCATTGCTTTCGACATCTTCGTTGTTGTGATTGATTGACAATCCGTAATAATAGTAAAACATTTCCCCAGTAAGAACATTCTGAACCTTTCACAAGCTTCAACAACTGCAAGGACTTCTAATTCGTATGCATGATAATTTTTCTCCTGCGGTGTACACGTTCGCCTATTATACGCTACTGGCTTCAAATCGTTTCCCTCCTTTTGCAACAGAATAGCTGCGATGCTAGACTCTAAGCGTCGACACGAAGTTCGCGATTTTTCGTGACATCATAAATTGTAAGCGCTGGGGCTCTAATAATTAGTTTAATTAATAGTCGGAACGCTTCTTCATACTCCGAATCCCATATAAAATTTGCGCTCTTCTTCGTTAGATGGGTAGGGGGCTTAGCGATTTGAGCATATCCGGGAACAAGCTTGCGGAAGAACCTACTCAATCCCAAGAAGCGTCGAACTTCTAACTGGTTATGCGGAGTCGGATATGTCTCTATGGCTGAATATTTCAAAATCCCCGGCCTAATGCCACTAAATAAACCTGATGTCCTAAGAAAGTAACATCGGTCCTCAAAAATTATTACTTCGATAGCCTTAATGTTAGCCCCTCTTGCTGAATAATTTTCAAAAATTCCTCCAAGTAAAATAAGTTTTCGTCCTCGGTCTCAGTTGCTACAATAACTTTGTCTACATTACTAACGACTGCTCTCTTCAAAGATGCAATTAATTGTGACATTATCCTCTGCAAAGTACACGGAGCATTTCGTAAGCCAAATTACATTCTATTAAACTCAAAATGTCCACTTCTACTTCAATCTGGTAATAACCAGACATAAGGTCTAACGTAGAGTAAAATTTCTTTTTAGACAATGTTGCCAAAACCACATCCACTGTAGGCATCAACCACGGCTGCTTTTCGGTTATTGTGTTCAGCCCGCGAAAATCTACACAGAGCCTCTCTTCGCCATCATGTTTACGTACCAAAACGACCGGCGATGCATACAACTATTAAACTATTTTCTCAACTACGAGCTGTTTCGGGATTGGAATACTCTACAGCTTTTTAACTATTGGTCTCTGAGACGTAACTTCATTTCCATCTTGAATGTTCTCGACTTTCCAATTCGGACAACTCTCCTACACAGTTCGCATATGCATTCACTAAATCAATTAAGTTTTGCTCCACATTCGCTTCCAGTGAACTACCAATATCTAAAGCACTTCTACTAATTGCCATAACTCTCTTTTCCTTTAGCCAGCATGTCGATTCCTATAAGTGCATCATGTGTCATCACGGAGTCATTTATAATTAGCAATTCAACAATACGTAACACATTAGCTCTGATCCAGTACTCCATGAACTTACAGGTTTTTCCACGAACTTGCAGGAAGTTACAGAAAAAATGATCCGGTACTCCAAATTCCTCCAAAATCCTGTAAATGAGAGCGATTTTTAGAGAGTTGTGTAGAGAATGAAGTTGCAAGATTTTAGCGGAATTTTTTCTTCTGGTAAAATCATGAAAAGTGTCAAGTGATTACTGGTTGACGTTTTTACAGGGAAAATGCTTTTTTTGTTCCCGTACTTTTTGTTGCTCCTCACTTTTCACTCTCACTCTCACTTTAGAGAGTAATTTTGCTGTTTGACATTTTTACAGGATTTTGCATGAAAAGTATTGGATCAGAGCTATTATCAAATCGAATGGGCGCTGATACTTTTCCGTGGCAAACAACCTCACCACCAGCAAAACCAATTAACTTTTCATTACACGCAGTGACACATAAACCACAATTCTCTGCAATCGACCGCTTAACCAAGGATTTGCTGCTACCCGAATCAATGAGCGCTTTACATCTCAACTCTGTCTTTCCTATGATTGTAATTTCCTTACACAATTCCATGCACACATTTTTATCACCAATTTTGTTGATTGATATTTCACTTTCTACACATTGTTCACTTTCCTCATATTCGTCACTTGACATCTGATGTACACGATCAACATCGGGTGTTGTATGCTGCGTCATATATGTGCCAAGTACGGCTGCCCCGAAGTTGAATACGACGAAACTTTCTGCTGCAAAGTCGGCAACATAGGTCGTTGTCATGATGCAATAATACAAGGTGGTATCAGTTGTGACAGCTCGATTTGATATTGCTTTAGCTCAGTAGAATAAGAAAAAAAAAGAAATGAATCCCCATTTGGGGGAAAAATATAAAATTTCATATTTTCTTCTAAACAAAATTTGCTTTTTTATAATATATTAGTAATGAATTGAAATAAAGTAAGATAAAATACCTTTTTAAGAAAACACAATGTGTATACTGAGAAAAAATAAAATACATTCAACTATATTATTAGGCAAAGAATTGTTAAAGAAGTAACACTGTTTCACCTAAGGCAGTCAATATGGCGGAATTAGAGCGAGAAGCTGCCAGCCGATAACACCTTGTATTATTGCATCATGGGTCGGTGTCATGATTCAGTAATTAAAGGTTAGATAAACTGACAGTTGTCCCTCTCGCATGGCTCCCTTAGAAGTGGTGCCGTGCTTCTTTGCAAATTTACTTGAAAAAGTGTAGCTTTCATGTGAAATATAATTAGACCTTTTTGTACAATATATATTTGTATATGCATATAAAGCAAATTNTTGTAATTTCCTTACACAATTCCATGCACACATTTTTATCACCAATTTTGTTGATTGATATTTCACTTTCTACACATTGTTCACTTTCCTCATATTCGTCACTTGACATCTGATGTACACGATCAACATCGGGTGTTGTATGCTGCGTCATATATGTGCCAAGTACGGCTGCCCCGAAGTTGAATACGACGAAACTTTCTGCTGCAAAGTCGGCAACATAGGTCGTTGTCATGATGCAATAATACAAGGTGGTATCAGTTGTGACAGCTCGATTTGATATTGCTTTAGCTCAGTAGAATAAGAAAAAAAAAGAAATGAATCCCCATTTGGGGGAAAAATATAAAATTTCATATTTTCTTCTAAACAAAATTTGCTTTTTTATAATATATTAGTAATGAATTGAAATAAAGTAAGATAAAATACCTTTTTAAGAAAACACAATGTGTATACTGAGAAAAAATAAAATACATTCAACTATATTATTAGGCAAAGAATTGTTAAAGAAGTAACACTGTTTCACCTAAGGCAGTCAATATGGCGGAATTAGAGCGAGAAGCTGCCAGCCGATAACACCTTGTATTATTGCATCATGGGTCGGTGTCATGATTCAGTAATTAAAGGTTAGATAAACTGACAGTTGTCCCTCTCGCATGGCTCCCTTAGAAGTGGTGCCGTGCTTCTTTGCAAATTTACTTGAAAAAGTGTAGCTTTCATGTGAAATATAATTAGACCTTTTTGTACAATATATATTTGTATATGCATATAAAGCAAATTTAACTGATGAAAACAAAACTTGCTTTTAAATTCGATGTTTACATAAAACTCATGGTAGTTTTATTTTAATTTTGAGCCCTTTTGCAGTTTTTATACCGTTAAATAGCACATAAATTATGTAATTCACGTAGATATCGTAATATTTTTTTAAAAATTTCGTTTAAAATACAAAATTTCCTGCAAATACATTAAAATTTACAACAAAAGGAATTTCACTACTAAGTTCCTACTTTGCGTACTTTTCTAATACCACTTTCGCACCAAGGGATTTCATTCTTCCCCTTTCACTGTCCCCCGTAAATGCAACCTTTTGTAAGGGAGTGTCAAACCGCGGCTGTCAATAATTATCTGACCTTTAATTATTGAATTATAGTCCGGTGTTATACAGACACATTTTTGTTTGGCAAATTAAATGGTGGCTGCTCAGTTTGCTCGAAGTTGGTTATGTCAAGTTTGGCACAGGGTTGCACGTTCATAATGGTTTTCATGCCTATTGCCAACACGAAATGAAAATTTCAGATATATATATCGTGCACAAATTAATATATTTTTTATGATATTGTTTAAGCAATTAATCCTTGAAGCTCCTACAGCATAAATCCAGTTCTTTGGCTTTCGGTATCACGAAAATTTTTGTGTATAACAATTATCCAAAATTTTTGTATATGACAACACTGAATTTGTGCAGTTTGGTCCAACGAAATTAGTTTGATGTGAGCGTCGCCAAACTCGCTCTCTCCGAGTTTTCTGCAACAACAACTGTACACATTTGCCAAACAAAATTTCTGCATAACACCGACCATCAGCGTTGCCATTTTAGCCGTTTTCCGGCTAGATTCAGCCGGTTTTGATAGCAACTAGCCGGAGAAAATTCGATCTAGCCGGCAGCCGATTTGTTAGCCGGTTTGTAAAAAAAAGTTAGCCGTTTTTAGCCGATTTTACTATTTGCCTAATTTTCAGGTGCAAAAAGTAAACAAGTTGTTCGAAAGCAATAATGCAGACCCAATGAAGATTTTTAATGAACTCAATGTTTTACTTTCGCATCTATGCTCCCTAGTGGTTATTAGCGCGGACACATTTGATCCTATATGCTCCCCGTTGGAACCATACCTTGCTCCATTTCCTCAGTTTTATCACAGTTTTGAAGAGTATTTAAAAACAAAAGTAAGCACAAACGCTTTTGACCACGAAGCCGAGAAAATAATTCGAGAAAATGGTCGCTATTTTATTATCACTTTAATAAAGGAATTACGCCAACGCCTCCCTACAAATATTGCCACACTAAAAAAAATTGACTTTTTTCGGTTGGAAATGCATTAAGAGTAATTAAACCAAAAGTATTTGTTCAACTACAGCAACAAAAACACAAATATAATGCCGACGAAATAACATCCATAGAGATGCAATGGCAACGGTTAACGTTACATACCTGGAGTAATTTAGACTCAACTGTAAAATTTTGGGCCGAAGTTTATCAATTTCGAAATGCCCTAGGAGAAAACCCTTTTGCTGACCTTTGCAACCTAGTTTTTAGTTTTCTTGTTTTGCCTATAAGTAATGCAGAAGTAGAGCGAATATTTAGTTCAATGAATATATTAAAACTAAGCAAAGAAATCCAATGTGCGTTAAAACGTTAAACGCTATTTTATATATAAGATACGGTTTAAAACGTGAAGAAAAACGCTGCCATAATTTTACTGTAGATGACGATCTCTTAAAATTAATGAATTCAGGTGATATATACAAGTGATTCATTTGATGATCTTTCGTTTCTTGCGATTTATTTAAATAAAGCATGTGAATATTCACTAAAACATTTTAGCCGTTTTTTGCCAGAGTCTATGTGAAATTTCACTAAACCATTTTAGCCGCTTTTTTTTGCCAATCTAGCCGGTCGGCCCAAAAACTTCTGGCAACACTGCCGACCATACACGCGTGCCGCTACGTAAATGGAATAATCTGTTCCACTGGCAATGAAAAAGAAGGCGGTAATGCTTGGGACGCTGGCATTGCTATTGGGCCTGCTCAGTCCGCCTAAACAGTGTTGCCAACTTTTGATTTTCAGAAAGCACCAAAAGTTGGAAAAAAGGCGTTTTACCAAACTAAAAGCACCAAATTTTTTTTAATCAAAGGATGCTTTTTTCGTAACAGTTTGCATTTAACAAAAGCAAAAAATTAACAATATTACAAGAATACATGCATAAATCAATACACATAACGTTTTCGCTCATAACGATTGAATAGCCTTTACACATGCCATGATGTCTCATGCTTACGACGTAATACCGAAGTACTATTAAAACTAGTATTTCTCGAGAAAGAAAAATCGAATCGAAACAATTTGATGTTTTCATTATATAACCACAAATATCGCAAAAACCGTGTTTTTGGCAATCTGGGGGTAGGATATCTAAAAATTCTAGTACTAGAGCAATTGTGCGGCCAGATTTGGATTCAAGAAACGATGTGTTTTACTCAGGTGGTAAAAAAAATCAAAATTTGTACAAACAATTAGAAAGAAAAAAATAAATACTTAACTTACCTGCGTAATAGCATTTTCAACGCGAATCGAATTCAACAAGGTGGGTTTGCAACTTCAGCTTTTTATCAATTATGGTTGTATTTGAGTGCATTTGAATTTGTATATTCTTGTAAATTCCGCATCTTCATGAGACACCACAGCTTATAATATTTCAAATTATTTCAGGTTTTAACTATCTTGGAGTAATTTTAATTAAAAAAAAAACACTAAAAAAGGCACTAGGCACTAAGTAATTTTTTTTTGCGTTTTAATTTTCAAAAAGCACTAAATCTAGTGCTTAAAGCACCAAGTTGGTAACTATGCGCCTAAAACAGGTGTTGTGTGGATAAGAAGGGGAAGAGAGTTCGAGTTTACCTCGTCCATTTCAGTCCGCGAAAATCGCGCACTAACCCAATCAAGCGTAGTTCATGTATACAAAACTGAAACCTGTTTTCGGCGGACTGCCCAGCAGTGTTGCCAGGTCTTCGGCATGAGAAAACGTCCCTCTTGGTCTGAAAAAACGTCATTTCCTACCCAAAAACGTCTTTTTCAAATGAATGTACATAAAATTCGTCTTATTAAACTTTTATTGCATACAAAGGTACATAGATATGTACGTAAGGTATATTAAAATGTCATTTCGACAGAACACATTTAAAATTCATTGTAAACTGGTTTGAGATCGTTAATAAAAAATCATTTTATACATATACTTGTGACCAGCTGATTAAGTCAACAACATTTAGATCGATTTTGGCTGTTTCTCATTTGTTTATTTAATGTTTATTAGTTTTCCATAAAAGCCAAGCTCATTATATAACAAACAAAATATAAATCCACATTTCAAACTTTGTTCAAAAGTTATAAAAAATCTGTAAAATTTCAGCTAGATTTTCAACTTTTTATTCAGATTTTTTAGAATTTTTTTTGAGTATGCAGTTTGATAGCGCATTAAATTTCAGGGCAATAATGTGCAAGTTTGAATGGGCTAAATAATCGCGTGGATTTTTAATAATTTTGTTTTTCTTGTAGGCGTTTGGTTAGGAAGTCGGTTTTCGAAAATGCTAAATTACGTTCTGCT